ATATTTGCACATATTCAACAGTAAATTCACATTAAAATATAACACGAGTACAACATGAATATGAACAATTCAATGAGCATATATGAATTAAACGAGACGGAAAAACGACGAGGTACCGTTCTCGGGAAAAATCGAAAACGTCACGAACAAGAAGCTCGACGGTTAACTCGTCTCGCCGGAAAAGAGGGCTCGACGTGCACGGGAGGGATAGGGAAGTTGTTGCTGGTTCACGGGCTCGCCGGGAACGGAAAGAGGGTCGCCGGACGCTGCTCGAAGAGATGTCGAGCTCGCCGGAAAAATTCTGAACGACGACGGGGCCGCTGGGAAGCTTCGCGGCGCGGCAGGGGGAGGGTCGCGGCGCGGCAGGAGGCTTTGTCGCGGCGTGGCGAGGTGAGGGGCTCAGCGACGTCGGGCTTCTGCAACTCGCCGGACTGGTTCACGGCAAGGACGGGCTCACGGGAGGAAGGAAAACTCACCAGAATTCGCGAATAGAGGTCGCCGGGAGAAGCTTCGCGGGGCTGCTGTGCGCGAGTGGTGAGAGGAGGGCTCGCAAGTGGTGACGGCAGCGTCGCTGCTATCGTCGCGGCGGTTGTTCACGGTGACTGGGGTGATGGCGAGAAGAGGGAGATGACAAGAGGGTGAGGGTGACGGGAAAAATTTTCAGAGAGGTGGAAGGGGAAGAGGACGATATGCTGTCGCGAAGTCGAGAGAGAGGAAAAGAGATTTGGCTGCGGCGTGAAAATCAGATGGAGAGGAGAAACAGATACAGACTTTATTATATATATGCACAATAGAAAATTAGGTATGACTTTTCTTAATTTCCAAGAAAATCCACACACACGCACGCTAGAAAGAAAAAGAGAAGGGAAAAATCTGTCGGGCCGGGCCCGAGAAGTTGGGTCAAATGGATTTTGGGCCGGTTGGGACATTAAATCGGCTCACGGGCTCGATTAAAAATTTAAACGGACATTTTTCGGGCCCAATTTCGGTTCCAACGAAAATCCTCGGGCTCGATTTCGAATGCAAACACGCGATAAAATAAACCGAACAATATATATATTTATATTCTCATATTTTTAAATACACATTAATAATCACAAAAATTTAATTAAACAATTACACATTTAGCATTTAATCACATTTGACAATTATTAAATATTATGGCATTCAAGAAAAATAAATATAAATATTATCACAGAAATAACAATAATAATAATAATAATACATCCCAAATAATCCACAAATAAACGGGGCATTACACTAAAGCCAATGAATCTAAGAACCTAACTATAGCCACCTTAATCCAGAAAAGAATCAAGTCACCAGCTTCCTATTCAAGAACTCCTGCCACTCTCTGAAGGCTGTCTGCAGGATTGTCTTAACAGGAAGCCAAAATTTTTGAAAAACCCACAAGTTACGAGCTTTCCAGAGCCACCAGAGGATACAGGTGGAAAGTTGTATTCTAGCTTGTGAGTTGTCTGAGTCAAGTGAAGAGATCCACTACCACCATGTTCTAAAGTTCTTGCCATGAATCTGCATGTTGTCCCAGTCCAGAGGTAAAGCCTTCCACACAAGTTGTGCCCTGCTGCAATAGAAGACTAAGTGCTCAGTAGTTTCTTACCCTCACTACAACAAGGGTAGATGCAATCCAGAGAGATTCCTCGGCTTCTAAGGTTAGAGCTGACAGGAAAGGACCCTGAGAAGTATTTCCACAAGAAATGCTTGAGCTTCCCTTTAATGTTTAATTTCCAGCATCTTCTTCTAACAGCAAAGTCCTTAGCCTTGCCAGTGCTGCTTTCTGCAAAGTTAAGAGAAAATTTTTTTTGCAAAGATAGTTTAGAGTAAGCATTGGTGATAGAAAAGGTGCAATTGTTTGATCCTTCCCAAATCCATCTGTCTTTCAGGTCAGACTTCAAGGTATTGATAGCAAGGATTGCTTTGCTATCTGCATCAGAAAAATAGCTCTTAACCAGATCCTCATTCCATCTGCTTCTACCAGGTTCAATAAGATCATGGACCCAGGTTAGGTGAGAAGTGTCAGGGTGCAGAGGTTTAGGAACACGAGAAGGGATAGAAGGGGTCCAGGGACCAAAGAATATTTTAGTGTTAACACCATCTCTTACTTCTCTTCTGAAGCAGCTTTGATATTTATCTTTGATAGACATCCAACAGTTCCACATCCAAGAGACAGAATGCATTTTACCAGCTGGAAGGACAGAACCTGAAGGAAAGTATTTTTCTTTCAAGATTTTACTTACAAGCAAGTTGGGTTTAAAGAGTAACCGCCAAATTTGTTTCAGGATCATAGAGTCATTGAAGAGCCATAAGTCATGGAAGCCAATCCCACCATTATCCTTGGGGATAGTCAAATGGTGTCATGCTTTCCAGTGGATCCCTCTTTTTTTATTCTTCCCCAGAGCTCCACCAAACGTTTGAACACATAGTTGCTATTTCCTTGCAGATTCCAGTGGGCAGAGTAAAGCAGGACATGATGAACATTGGGAAGGCATTGATGACAGATTTTAATAGCACCTCTTTGCCTGCAGGTAATAAGAGCTTATTTTTCTAGTTTTCCAGCCTTTTCATGGCTTTCTCAATAACAAATCCAAAAGCCTCTTTTTTGGATTTCCTAATCTCAAGTGGCAAACCCAGGTATCTAGAGGACTTGTGAGAGAAAATGCCATCCAAAGCCAAACAGATATCTCTTTGCAGAGTAAGTGGAGAGTTCTTACTAAAGAAAACAGTAGATTTTTTAAGATTAACTTTCTGGCACGTGAAAGTTTGATACCTTTGCAGAATGGTCAGAAGCCTCTGAACTTGAATAATGCTAGCTCCATAGAAAACCAATGTGTCATTAGCAAATAACAGGTGAGTAAGAGGGGTTCCCCTCTCTTGTAATCCCTAAGGCCTTTAAATATGTTATTGTGAACATCATGTGCAAATAATCTGGAGAGAGCCTCGAAAACAACAATAAAGAGGTAAGGGAATAGAGAATCCCCTTGCTTCACTCCCCTGGTAGGAGAAATGAACCCAGAAACCCTGCCACTCATATTAAAGGAAAAAGCAGAAGTAGAGATGCAAGCAGATATCCATTTCACAAAGGAAGTATGAAACTCCATTTTTAACAGAATGTATGTTGTGCCACTCAAGTTGGTCAAAAGCCTTTACCATGTCCAATTTTAAAGCCATATAAGACTTCCCACTTGATCTGTGCTTATTAAGAAAGTGAATAACTTCCTGAGCCAAAATAACCACTGTTCTAAAAATCGGCCTAGGCGCTAGGCAGTGCCCGGGCACCTCCGATTTGCACAAATCGGCAGAAAAAATGGGTCAGACGGCTAGGTGGCCCTAGGCGCTCCTAGGCTGGCTGGGCGAGCTCGACGGCCAGACAGTTAGGCGGCATCTAGGCAGGCATAGGCGGACCTAGACGCTCCTAGGTGGGCTCGGCGGCAATTTTTCAGTTTTTTTCTTAAATACTAATTATATTATTTTGTTCTCATGCTTTCTTTAATATATATTAATATGATTATTTATACTTTGGTGTGAAAATTTATTATAAGTTGAGAAAGTTTTATTCTGTAGGTAGTTAAAATAAACAAAAAATAAGTATTTAATCTTGGTTTCTGGGCCCCGACTAGGCGCCGCCTAGGTGGTCTTGGCGCTAGGCGCTGATCGAGCGCCTAGCGACTTTTAGAACATTGCGCTTACACCACCAGAGCCAACAAATCCAAAACGGTCCCATAGAGAACAACACGGCCCCAATCCAAAAATTCAAACATAAACAAAGAAAGCAATCTAATTTTAAACTAAAGCCCTCATCGACCACTGTCAAGCTTCACCAATGCTGAGACCACCCGAGTCAGCAAATCGAAGAACACGACCCCAATCCAAAAATACAAATCCAGTAACTCAAACCTCTTATACGACTATGACTAACCAGATTTGAAATGATCAACCCTTCAACAATAGGGACCAACGCTGAACAACACTCGACGGCCGAAAACCACAGTCTCCTTACACCTAAATCGCCAGACAGAGCGATCAACCCCTCCACAGGATGGAGGAACCCCGTCGAAGAATCAAACCATCGTACCATACAATATGGATGGAGGGGGAGGGAGCAATTATATAACAGATCGAATTCAAATGATGAAAATCTTTTGTTTTACGATAATTTTAAAACATAATATCATTATCTTTTATAATTTTAATATTATATACATAAATATAACTTATAATACTATATGTTCAAAATATAATATTATTATTTAACTTATAATTATAATATTATATATCTACAAATAACATATAATATTTTATTTACAAGAAGTGAAGTGAAGGAAAAGAGAGGGGGTACCAAGCAATCTAGCAAGCGTGGTGAGGAAGGAAGATACTTTTCATAGAATGCGACGATGCATGCCCCCAAAGAAAAGAGGGAAAGCGCGGACTGACTTTACTGGATGGAAGATGACTTTGAATTTGGCTTAGGAAAGGCCTTGACAACATCCTCATAACCGCCTGTCTAGCGAAGTGAAGTCAAAGACTTCAAGGTTTGGGATTCAAATCCATGATACAAGAAGGTTGTATAGAGATAACACAAATCAGTGTCTTAAGCCCACTCGGAAAGAGAAGAATGAAGAAGAAGGAACAACAGGACGAGGGAAGATCATATTCGAACTGAAAGGGACTTAAGGAAGATCAAGGGAAGTCCTAAAGGAAAGACCGTCTCTATCATAGCTTCATGCGCCTAGCAGTAAGATCGAATCTATTCTTAAGAGTGTAAATGCGCAAGATAGAATACTAGTTATTCATATTGTTGACATTTGCCTCTTATTTATTTCCCCGCATTAAAGTTTGAATATACTTAGCAATATATTCCTAAATTCACGATTACGAAGAGAAGCAAGAAGCTCAGACCGAAATTTAACTCGTGACAAGTGTTCTACCACGTTCCTCACAATTTGTACCTCGAGAATTTTCTTTCTGCAATTATTATGTAGTATCTTTTAACGTCGGACACGTGTCCCGGTATCGCCACCTCAACAACCGTATACGCAACAAAATCCATTTTTTCCGAAAAGAAAAAATATTCAAACAAAAGTATGACACTTCCGGCGCTATTAGTGACGGCGACGAAACTAGCCGGAGCTCTAGTCTCCGTTACCGTCGTCGCCAACACTTTCTCCTTCTCCCGCTTCAAACGGAAAAGCTTGGCCCCCTTCGAATCCCCAATCGACGAGTCCGCCGATATTCTCGCTGAATTCAACATTAATCCCACCTCCGGTAAGCTTCATCTTTGTCCCCGTTAGACTAATTGATCGCTCAATGTCGTGTTTATTGCTGCCACTAAATCCCCAACTCGAAAAGAGCCATTTTAGGTCAGTTTGTTTAAGCAATACCTTAGTTCCATCAAGCGATTCAGGCATTCAGCTATTGTTAGAAGACTTGGGAACTGAAATATGAATATGGGCAACAATAATACTGTATTTTGTTCCTAGTAATCTTGTTAGCTTGGTTAGTTGGTCTGCATGCTTTCATTTTAGTTGCTCTTTTGTTAATACTGCTGAGGGGGTACAATTTTGATTAATATCAAGAAAAAAAAAAACACACACACACACACACACACACACAAATTATATGATTTTATGGATTTCATCTAACTAATCTGGGCATCATTTTTCATTTAGAAGGGGAAAGAGGTTTCTTTTTCAAATTAGGACAAAAAAGAAACAGATACAATGCGGTATGTGTAACTTGCAGAAGCAAATTTGTGAATTCAGCCTAACATATCTTGCTACACCATTTTTTCAATTAGAAGGAGAAAAAGGCTTCTTTTTCGGGCTAGCAACAGCACCGGCCCATGTGGAAGACAGGCTCAATGATGCCTGGCTCCAATTTGCAGAGGAAAACCCGTGTGATCAGCCCGAATCGCAGAAGGCTGGCCCGGAGCCTGCAGATGCAGTTTTGGGCTCGGCCTCAGCAGATGGTGGGGCCCAGCGTGGCCCACTGCTCGATAGGGAAAGCAGCAGGAGCATGAAGAGGAAGAAGAAGCTGAGGCTGGCTATGGAAGCAAGTATTCGAGGATTTGAGAAGTATGAGGAAAGTGAAGAGCCTGAGTCGGGCGAGGGGTGCCACCACACAGTCGCATCATGGCATAACGTCCCGCATCCGTAAGAACGGCTTTTATCTTTCTTTTTTTTGTGATGAAATTTGTGATTGATGGCGATTTTTTTTTTCCTTTTTCTTTTTATCTCCGTGTTTGGAATGAGTTGACAAGGGTGCAATCGTTATGGGTTTTTAATGTATTGGGTTTTGGACTTTGGAGTTGCGATTTTCTTCTTTCGTGTTGAAAATGGATAATTACAGTAACTACACCTGTGTTTGGGTAATGTAAAAATATCCCCAGAGTATCTGAGAGTACAAAATTAATGTTGCGTTTGGTTATGCCATAGATATGTTTATGAATGCAGGGAAATAATATTTTTAATGAAATA